CGCTCACAGCTGCCCCAAGATCATAAATAGCAATCTATTTGCCATTTGTTGCTGTGATAAAATGCCACGAGCAAAAGCGGCTCCTGGAAGAGTTTGTTTTGGATTACGGTTCCGGGGGGCGGGGGGAGAGGAAGAGTTCATCATGGCATGGAAGCATGGCAGTAGGTAGCTAGGGCAGGAACACTTACACATCTTCAACGGAACTGAGGCAAACCTAAACCTCTGAAAACACAGCAAGAGCACTTATATAAGTTTCATCATCTCTCCAAATAGCACCACCAACTACAGTTCAAGTGTCCAGCTACCTACGAGAGACATTACTCATTCATAATACTACAAAAAAGGAAGGGATCAAGAGAGACAAAAAACCAAAAACAAAGCGTAGGGGACACTGAGAACTCATGACAAGAACAGTGAAAATCATGAATTCTTGTCGTTTTGAAGGAAATACTAACCTCTCTTCCAACATACCCCCTCAAATGTGAGAACCAAACAGTTAGCCTTCCATGAGAGTCAGTTGTGAATTTTGGACTTGAGCAATTAGGCGGAATAAAGCAGAAGACTCCATTCTGATGTGCAGCCCCCTCAACAGTCTAATTTTAATGCCTGCCAGAACTCTTCAGTTTACAAACCTTGTTCTAAGCTTCTACCTTCTTATTTCCAGACCCTGAAAGTAAACACAGGTTATGGTCTTCTAGATTTTGGACATCATGCTATTTTTTCTCTTTACCTTGGGAAAACCCAGGCAACCTTTTACAAACCTAAACCAAAATACCATAGATCTAGGCCTAGTTTATTCCCAGTAGCACTAAGTATATGTTAAAAAGAGAGAGAGCCAACTCAAACATTTGTTAACCCTGAAATGTTAAATTATTTTTACCTTGAGACTCATAAAAAGGATAATGAAATAAACCTGCAACAAGAAAGGTTAATGTGATTAATAGTAAAGAAATTTATACACAAGCTAATAGAATTAAAAATTTGTAAGTAAACACAACCAAAGAATGACATGTCTCTAAATAAGTATATTCCAAGTGATAAGGAAAGTTCCATAGAATAGAGGTATAAAATGCCCAGGAATGGTGGCCCTTGTTTCTCTTAGCTGTTAAATAGCTTTATTTAAATGGTCAGCTATTGAAAATCCAACAGGTAGTCCATAAAGAGAGAAAACTCTACCAAAGTGAAAGAATAGGAGTCTTTCCTCCGCCTCTTTCAGTGGAGGCCCTGCCTTCTTGAAGCAGTACAAACACTATCTGAAATCCAGCCTCATTTGGTATGCCTGTGTCTAGCCTATTTCACTGATAATCAGATGTGAAGTTTGTCAGTGTTGTCAGAGCTTAGCCCTTATCTTGAATGTGAATTCAGTACAGTAAAAATCAGGCTAGCCTAAGTTCCAAAAGATGTAGACATAAGGTTCTGCTCTAGCATGAACTATAATTGCTCAATGTCTCTAGATCTTGTCTTCTAAATAGGTACCGTTACTGAAAATTGAATACTCATAAAGGTTTGACTGGAGAGAAACCTCCATTGACCTTAATTGATGTCTTTGTCCAATGTGTACTGTCTGGAGCTCTGGATGGCCACCCCAATAACTGAACACCCCAGGGTATTTTCCAGTACCTCACAGCGCCACAGTGCCTTCAGCCCATCTTGGTAAGGGTGTGGTGCAGTGGACTGATCGTCAGTGGCTTTCAGACTGTGAAAGTGCTTTGTTTCTTTTACTTGAAATATGTAAGAGGGTGAGATGATTTGGATTTTTTTGATGTCTTTGTAAATTAATTGCATATTAACATAAGTGCATAAAATAGACGGTGAAGAACAGCAAATTGGTTTTTAAACCACCAAGATATGCCAAACCCTCAGTGTTAAATATAGCCCTAAGTAAAGAGTCAGTGTTGTTAAGCAGTAATAACTACATATAATGAAAGATTTTTCCATTGCACTCCGAGCATAAAACTGGAATCCCTGAAGTTATCACAGGAATACCTATACTTAAGTGTAGACCATGTTGCTCCTTATTCTACCTTCCTTCCCAAACTTTAATCCAACAGGATAATCAAACTCTTCCCAAAATATCTTCAGTACACCAGGACTATGATCCAAGCCTATCACTGTCATTGTCACGAAAGTCAACCACAGCAGTGAGGGTCAACAGATGCAATAATAGATTCTGGAAGACCAGACCGGAAAATCCCCTTTTGCCACTCACTGTGTGTGACCTTGAGGTGGTTAAATGGCACGTGTCATTTTCAGACTCCGCAGGGAACAAATACAAAGTAGGATCATCAGGAGAATAGACAAGACATGAACAATACTTAACCAACAACTGCTAATCTTTTATAATACTTACCCCACAGTGTTTGCTTACAGAAGTGTCTAATTTCTTTACGTCTTCAATTCTCTAACTGTAGTGCACAGTCAGTAAACACAAAATCTTTCTGTAGTATTTCTTCTGAGTGTTTCCTATGCAGAATGCCAGATGCTACACAGCCATGTAAAACTAATTTCACAACCCTAAAAACATACGTGTATGAAGAGCCCCCAGTCGAACCAGACAAAAAGAAAGCGGGTGTTGCTTTTGTTATTTGGTCGTTATAGTTTTATGATTTTTTTTAAAAAGGGACATATGGTATTACTTTGTAGTTCAGGCTGGCTTCAAACTCACAATCTTACTGCCTCAGCCTCCCAAGGTGCTTGGATTACAGGCATATTCCCCATGGCCAGCAAGATTATGTTTTAATTGTGAAAATATAAAAGATTTAACTAGTGTCATGACTAATGGGAAGGAATAGTTAAAAGCTCCCATGTGACTGTTTTTAGTTTTTTTGGGGGGAGGGGTGTCTCTAGAACCAGGCAATGGAGTTAATGAACTTTTGAAAAGAGACACGAGATTGGACTGCCCGTGAAAACTCATGGCAGCTTCACAGAAGTCGATGTATTTTGCCAAGTCAGTAATGAGTCTGAGAAGAATACCGCCAGAAGCTACACAGAGGCCACAGAAATCGGGACTCAAGACGAGGCCAGAGAGCAGGAGAAGCTGAAGATTCTGAGCTGGGCTCTGTTCAGCTCCATGTGGTGCAGCACTGCCCGGAAGTGAGAGAAAACAGAAGGAGCCGAGTGCCTAAGAACAGAGAACAAGTTTTCTCTGGCCTGGAAGCAGTACCATTTTAAGAAAAATATCTTAATAAGTATAAGAAGTGATTTTTCTTTTTTACTTTTTAAAATATATCAGCTTTGTATTAAGGATAATGTTATACCTCAACAAGCAATTACGTCAGCAGCCTAGATCTAGGAAATCACAAAGAAAATTTAACACACCGGTTAGTGAGTTTTCTAAATGGTCACAAGGATTATTTTTTTTCCATAGTTCTAAGAGACAAAGAAGAAGAGAGTTGGAGTTGTCTGCTTGATAAGCAGGAAATTTACTGACATGAAGCTAAGAGATATGTGGCTACCAGATTAATTTACTTCTCAACCCATCAGGCTCCAGAAAGTTCAGGGAGCATTCTTAAACCTGAATATGAAATTTATCCTGCAACTGTGATGGCCAGAAGCTAAAAAGGAAGACAATGAGACAGGCCCTGAATGTGAAGCAATGAACTTTGTCTTTCTGTCTGCATGCACTGAGGGGGTGTGACCGGTGACACACTGACAGTGACGAGCTCCCAAGCATGTTTGCACCCTGTCCCCCACCCCTTGCAAACACAATTCAGGAAATGGTGGAGTATTAGAGATCCTAAGCCTGGAGCTGAGATATTGAGGTGTTATGTGAGTTCTAGTCAGACCTAGAAGATTCCAGAGTTAGCATAAATGAAAGTCACAATCTGGTGTTAGATGGCTGCCCATGTATATGCTCACATCTTTAAATTTCATCCTTAAGACCTTTAAGATGGTTAAAGGTCATGCCGTTTACACAAACAATTTAATATGGGTTGTTCTACTTTTAAAATCAGTCTGAATGCCACAGTCTGGGATTTGTCTCTCTTTGGCTTTCCATATTTAACTGAAGAAGCATCAACCCTGCAGATGAGCCTAGTACCAGTACCAAATGGTTCTGTATCCACAGGAGGTAGGAAACACCCCCTGGGAAATACTTTTCTATTACTTCAATCAATTTGAGAGGCAGGAGGGGGTCCAAATTGACTAGCAAGCCATTCCATCTGTGAATATACTGTGACGTTTGTAAGACATTTACTACATAAATCTCACTGACATAACCTGGTGTTTTAGATGCTTTACCACTTACATCCCTTGGGTCTGCTATTCACATAGATATTTTCTTGCTTCTTACTCTCTACTTTTCTGAATCTATGCCAACAATGTGGTTAAGAAACTTCTGATCTTTACGCACTGAGAGGGCAGCAAGTTAGTCAACTGAGTTCAGAATTTTATCACGGCGGGGGAGGGCTTCTACAAAGCATCTTGTTTCTTGTGCTTTCTCTTATTTGGGTATACAAACATGGTATTTAGAGTTGAAACACCAAGGTTGTAAAGTATAAAAAGACTGTACTCAAAGTTAAGCCCTGGCCTTCATGAAGGGAATAGCCCTACTTGTTCCTGCCTTCTATTAGCGTCTCTTTTATAGTGCCCAAGACAGGCTGGACCCTGTGTGCTGAAAAGCCAGCTATATATGCATTGCCTGTTTAACTACATATTACAAAAACGACCACAGGAGTCACAGCCTTGTTCAAGGTCATACAGATTAAGGCAGAACCAAACTCCCAATGACTGTTCCCACCACCAACATCAAGAGCTTTGATTTTTTTTCCCTCTTCTTAAAGGGCTGCTGAACAGCATCACATGGCAGCCAGGTAGAAGTCATTCTCCATGTCTTCAAAGGCATCCCTGCACTCTCTGAGACACAGTGTTCTACAGCAAGAAGGCTAGAAATCAGCTTGAAGACCCCATGGGGAAGGAACAGAGCACAGTGGTTTTCACTTGCATCCCTGAGTGTCCAACACCCCCAGAATGAAGGATGGTGTCAGTTCAAAGTCACTTACCCAAATCTGAAGCTTGATTCTCTTTTCATTTTTGAAGACAGTTTTTACTTTGAAATCGATGCCGACTGTGCTGACGAACGCAGATGTAAAGGAGTCGTCCGCGTAGCGGAACAGGAAAGATGTTTTTCCCACACTGCTATTGCCAATGATCAGCAACTTGAACATGTAGTCGAAGTTCTGGTCAGAAGAGGAGTCCTTCTGGCCAAACCTGGCGTCTTGTGCAGAGGCCATCTGCGGGGAATCAGGCATGGATCAGTGTCCCATTTGATATGAAGCTAACAGCATACTCAGTATTGCCCTTGCCAGAAACAGATGTCAGAGACTCAGGAGGCAAATAGAGCGCGCTCCCCAATCCCCCTCTGATACTGGTATCCATGGCAATAATTCCCAGCTGGAAAACAGAACAGCAAATCTTACAGCTCTTTCCAGCTGTGTTGGTGCTTGTCACTGCTCAGCATTCACAAGCCATCAAAGACACCAAAGGCAACATCTCACAAAGTAACATGAAAAAGCCAAGATAGAAGGAACTGGCAGGGCATGCAAGCTCTGAAGCTTTGCAATCTCAGTTAGGAGGAATCCAGTGTGGCTGAGCGGGGCTTATTCCTGAACATGTGAATTATTAGTCTAGAAAAAAATCCCAAGCACATCTCTATTTTATCTAATAGCATCATATCATGTCTTCATCCCCACATAAAAGTCAGTCTCCGTAAAATGAATAATAATAATAAATTTATATGGTTCAAAATGTAGCAGGCATTGTTCACTTATTTAATCCTCATACCCATCTGAGGTGGGTACCTTATTCCTACTAAAATGAGAAAATTGAGCTTCAGAAATATGAGACAGTATACTCAAGTTTATACAGATGGTAAGTTGTTGAAGCAGGGTTCAAACCAGGCAATTGGTGCCAAGGAACACATTCCTGACCTCTGACCTATTTCCTGGTGACATCTACAGAAATAAGCACAGTAATCCAGAAGGTCATGTAAAAGGCATTTCCAGACAGATACATGGGGTATCCTACCTAGGTTGAGGCATTGATTCTGTTAATTACCAACTGTGTGAAATTGACTTTATTTTTAGTTTTCTTCATTATACAACTGTTTTACTGTCTGAGAATTCTGTACATGCCTACAATGTGCTTTGTGTGTTTACTTAATTGATATACTATAGCTTTTCTTCTCACACAAAGTGAAAATGATGCAATACCTACCCAGGATGCTCATGGAAGGAATAGATAATATACCTATAAATCGTAACTGTAACTTAGTATAGAATAGGGATTGGTTTCATGTTGTTCTTAAATGTCTTAGGTAGATGTTTATAATTCCTCATCTTTGTGATAATTTTAATATCCACCAAAGCATCATTGTATCACTTCAAAGTACCATTGACTCAGGAAAGAAAAAAAAAGGCATTTTGAGTTATGAGTCCATTTGCTTCGGCACCTTTCCGATGCTATAAATTATTTGGCAATTGCTCTCCCAGTCAATGTGCTAGCCACTAAGCACATATGGCAGTTTAAATTATACTAAAATTAAACAGAATTTAAAATGTAGTTTCTTCATCACACTAGCCAAATTTCAAGCATACAAACCCATGCACACACACCCAGCCAGCCGCTAATGTACTGGATAGTTATATACAAAACATTGGCATCACTGCCGCACGTTTTGCTGGAAATGGTAGGCTAGACAGTCTGTTTTCCCATCAAAGCTGGTTAATATTGATTACATCTTCTCTTGTGAAACCCAATGAATTCAGTGAGGCTGTTCCTGTGTCAGAAGCTTGTTTCTCCATCTGAGGTAGTAGAAACTTTAGCGGTGGCACCTCGTTAGTACAAGACAGCTCACTGGGAACACTATTCTCAGGCTAGAGCAATGTCAATCCTCAAGGGACCTTGGTGAATTTCCACAACAGCATGTTGTTGCAGCCAAAGCAAACCTGGCCCCTGAATCTCTCTGGTTTCCTATCTCATGCAGTGATTGCTGACTCTTACATGTATTCCCATCGTGATGCCATCCCACATTTCATGACGCAGCTAGAAGACCCTCCCTATAGAGGGCTTACAGAGACTGACGCCATGTATTTGGACCTCTAAAATGTGAGCTCAATACACCCTGTGTTTTCATAAAGTTTCTAGCACCAGGTATTTTGCTGCAGCAACAGAAAATATAACAATCCTAGAAGGAGGAGTCCAAAAGGGGCTCCAGCGAGGAGTAGACTGCCAAAACCAAAACACGGCACTTGTGCTCATCTAAGACACCTAAGATGATGCTGACAGCCTGAAGCCAGGGGAAACAGCATGGAGGAGGGATGCACAGCTGAGCGAAAGGGGGGAAATGGGATGTGAGAACAGACTACCCTTCTACACAGCAGGAGAGTGACTTACTGAACTTCACATTCTCTAAACCAACACAGGCTTAGGTGTTTCTGATCACAGTGACACATCCAGGGAACCGTGATAACTTGTAGGGAGAGTATTCTAGCGTGTGAACCTGGGCCTGCAAACAGGCAATGCCACCTCCCCCCCGGTAGCTGGGCAACACTCTTCATGTTCTGGTAAGTCTCAGTTAGCATTCATGTTCTGGCAAACCTCATCTAGCATTGGCCATCAAAGGTAAAGTCGGTTCAAAGTCTATCAGTGTAACAAGAAGGTACTTTAACAATGAATGGCTTCCAACACCCTCATAGGATGGCAATCAGCCTCTGGATGTTGTTTAATTTTTAATGTTGGCACTGACATCCCTACAAATAAAGTCCTTTCGCCAATTACTAGCTTTCTATGAGATATCACTCCAGAATGTCTGCAGGTGCCCTTTATTAACAAGGTCCTTTGATATATTTTGTCATGAGCTAGCTTAAGGTCTGGATCAGGATTTAGGACATTCAACTAAACCACAGTCAGAAAGAGAGTTTAAACTTCACAGGGCTGCTCGGCCTATTAGCCTACCACACATTCTGCAGCCTAGAGCTACAAGAAGCCTTGCCAACACGGTTGTGTGTTCTACAGGCTGCCTTAAAGGAAAACATGGTACAGGTGACTGCTACAAATAAAGTTAATATGATTCTAAAACTGAAGCAATAAAGGCATCATGAATATAGAGAGCGTTCAATGTAATTGTGAGGATTTAGTTGGAGACAGAAGATTTACCTAGGAAGTGCCCACTCTAAGTTCAAAGGCTAATCTATCTTGTGTGTTGGAAGTAAACCACAGGATGGGAGGGTATTTAGGATGAGGCCCGTGGCACTGGGGACTATGTATATCCAGAAAAATTCTTCTGATGACATTAATTCAGAAATTTTTCATTTCTCTCTTATTTTTCTAACTCCTTTCTTCCTTTCTTCTTCCTTTGCTTCTTTAGTTATCTTTTTCTTATTTTTGGAGAGAGACTGATATGTTGCCCAGACTGGCTTCAAAGCCCTGGCTTCAAGGAGTGGGCTGATGTGGGATTTTCCCTCTGTATGCTATAAATACCATTGGTTAATAAAGAAGCTGCTTTGGGCCTATTGCAGTGCAGAATAAGGCTAGGCAGGAATTCCAAGCAGATAGAAGAGAAAGCAGTAGGCAGAGTCAAGGAGAAGCTATGTAGCCGCTACAGGAGGCAGAGGCCAGATGCCAGTCAGAACCTTACCGGGAGGCCACAACCACATAGCAATACACATATTGATAAAAATGGGTTAGTTTAAGATATAAGAGCTAGTTAATAAGAAGCTTGAGCTAATAGACCAAGCAATGGTGTAATAATACAGTTTCTGTGTGATTATTTTGTGCCTGGACGGCTGGGAAACAAATGAGCAGCCTCTGCCTACAGGGGTGGGGGCAGGTTAGGGGGTCTTTCTGCTTCAATTTCTGAAGTGAAAAATTAATTAAGAAGAATTTCAGAGTCCATTTAGTTTAAAATATTGCTTTTCTTTTACTTTCTCTACTGCTTTCTGATTTATATCATCAGTAAAATCCAGAAGGTCACAAGTGTTGATCACAAATGTATGTGTATTTTGTAACACTTCAGAACAATGAAATGAATGCTGGCTCTAAAGATGGAAGGCAGCTTTAATCTCATTAAGAACTGAAATTGGTGTTTTCACTGTACAGCAGCATTTGAATGTCACTAGGGCTTATACACAGTAACTATGTAAATTTACTGGCATTTCTAAATACTAAGTTGTTTGAATATCCTAGAAATTTTATGGGGAGATAGAATTGAAACTTGAAAACATGGGTAAGTAGGCCGTTACCTGTTAGACAGTGAGTCAGATTTAATAAAGCATTAATATTCACACCCAAAATTTATGAAGTATAATCAAAGTGGTAAGGTTATTGTTTACATTTCCATAGTTTTTTTTTCTATAAGAAACTCAAACAATCACAATTCTTCTTGGTTTTTCTGAACAATACCACAAATGAGTCCTATTAACTCTCCTACTACTCTAATCTCTCAACCCAAGAATGTTCATTTACCTTTAGTTCGTAACATAACATGTTTCTAGTTTAAATGGAGCCAATTGTGAGCCTAAATGGAACAGTTCAATGACTGAAATGAATGACTCCTGATTCGGAATTAGCAAACACTATAGATCACAGAAGAGTCACTAAAATTGAAGATGAATCAGTAGAAATCATCCAATGCAACAAAGAAGGAAATGAAAATAAGCAGAATCTCTGCGATTGCTGGGTCAATATCAAAAGTCTACCGTGTAACTGAAGGCTTAGAAGAACAAGGAGAAGAATGATGTTATTAAAAATACATGATACAATGACTAGATATTCTCTAACTTGTAATACAGAAATGTCCATTTCTGATGAGGTCACTTTAATCCTCTAAGTTGACAAACTACAATGGAAAAATGTATACATATCAAAGCTAAATAGAAATATATTCAATTCAAACAAAAGGAAACATGGAATTATATGTTTATATGTAAATATATATTACAATAATAAGAAGAGCATATGGTTTTACAACATAATGGAATCAGTAAACAATGAAATAGTATAGTATACTGAAATTCAGCACTGGAAGGAAGAAAAAATAAACACAAAATTTGATAGGAATTAAAACTCCTATTCAAAAATTCAAGAAAAAATACCCTCAAAAAATCATATAAAAAAAGCCTGAGCAAATGTGCTGACAGAGTCCATACTATAGGTAAAACTAAAGAAAGTTGAAAGGAAATAAAATCACATAGACACTCAGATCAATGGGAGGAATATTAGACATGGTAAATAG